AAAAGCTCTTTGGACCAGAATTGGTCTCTTTGAGCCCAAATTTTTCTACCTTGCTTTGACTTTATGTAAGTCAAGTGAAATATTGTATCTTTTGTATATAAAGATGGATTATTTAAACCATAAGAGGCTTTATTTTTGAGAAATATACTACAGATATATTTTGAACTGGCAAAGACCAACATTTTCAGCCTGAAACCAGCCCGTGGCCTAGACGCTCATTGGATTTATTATGCTGGTGTTGATTATGTTCATTTTGCTGCTGTTGTCATGCCTCGCCAGTGTGAAATAGATTGTTTCATCCAATTATTTAGCAAAAAAAAAATTACATGTTTTCGATGAATTTTTCTTCATCTTGTGCCTTTTTTTGCATTGATGTGAGACATAAAATTTCTGCTTTTTGCTTGAGTAATTTAAGAACTGCTTGTTAAAAATCTAATGAATGCAATCATTATGGAGTATTTCTCATTAAAAAAAAACATCTCTGATTCTGTATGTGTGCCTTGTAGTATTCCAATTTTTATGAATGTTATTTTTGGAGATAAAATAACACCTGAAATAGCTCCACAGTTTTGGTTGCATGTGTTATCTATGTAATACACCAAGCTAAGCTGACACTTACTGCATGAACGCTATAAGCTTTGTATTTGTGAACATAGAAGCTAGATTGTTATGAGACACTGAGTAGAGATTCCCCCTGCAAGTTTGTTGTGTTGCTCATAAGCCAATTTCTCTTTGTAATGATTTTTAAATGAAATGATTCCTGTTTTTTGTACAGTTGAAAGATTAAGCATTGTGGTATTTCATTGCAATTATTGTGGAAAAATTACTGTTTGAAATGACATTTGAACACATGATTTTATTTTTGAATGACGTATCTTTGTGTTAAGTAATGGTTACCAAAATGATGTTTTTGAATAAATTGAAAATTATTAAAATCTGAAAACAATTAACAAAATAATGTAAAAATAAATTAACTTGTACATAAAGAGTATAACATGCATTTCAGTCTATTTTCATTACTATTCAACTAAATGTTAATGGCTTATTTGCTCTTATATTTGCACAGAGCTGAGGGAAAAATCAAGCATTGTCGTATCAAGTTGGAAGGTCGTCTTTTCACCATCGGCAACGCCCAGTTTGAGAGCCTTTTGGAATTGGTGCAGTATTACGAAAAGAACCCTCTCTATCGCAAGATGAGGTTAAAGTACGCTGTCAATGCTGAGCTAGTCTCACAGATAGGAATGGTAGGAAGACATGAGATTATCATTGCTATTATAGTATGACCAGTTTAAAGAGCCTTACCACCTGGAGTGATAAAGTTCAGTTTTATACAGTTTATATATGACAAAAAATAATAAAACTTTATAAGCAAGTTTTGTTGTATTGACTTTAGCCTGTGATAGAATAATATTGAAGAAAAAAGCATTTTATATTTTAATGTTATACTTAAATGCTTAATATTATTCACTTGAATGATATGACATTCATGCTTCACTTTTTAATATTTTCTTACAGCATTGGCAATATGTGTCTGGCTTTTCATGCAGTCACCTTGGCTTTTTTTCTGTATTTTCAGATTACCACTTTCCTTAAGTTATGAGGATAACAGGTGTGCTTGATTTAGTTTCAGGTTTTATCTTGATTTTAGCACTGTTCGGAACATGAAGACTTGTGGTGAAAATTTTCTTAAGAAATGACAAAAGAAAAGCTGCTCAGGGGCTTCTCAGGACATCATCAAGGTTTACACTGTTTTGACAGCCAGTTTTGATGTGAAATCACCTACATACATTTAGAACATTGTAGTCATTTCTTTCTTTCTGGAAAACCTACGAGACCCTCTAAATCTGCCCTTGTTTTGATTGCAAGAACATCTGCCGGGGTCCAATGAAATTTCAAACACTGTTCCTCTGTGTAAGCCATGTTTTAATAATTAGCTAAGCTTCTCTTGACAGGAGCCAGATGCCAATGCCATCTATGGTTCTGCAGATATCTATATGAATCCTAATGACTATATGTCTAAGGTAATAAGCCCTAGGTTTCCATAGCAACTGCTGCATGGCCCACCACCTTGGCTTATTTTTTGCTGACAGATTTTTTATTTTGGATTTTTTTTCTCTAGTCTTAGAAATCCAGGGTTGCTGTTCTAATCTTGGCTCTTTCTCTCTCATTTCTTTTGTTCAAGAAACAATGGCTTACAGCTTTAAAGATTTACAGAGTTCAGATATCTGTAACAAAATTAAACTGGCTCGGCCAAACAAAACGTATACGGACACTTTTTAAACTGATGTAGAGAGAGAGAGGGGCAAGATGAACATTCCTTATCAAGCTCATGGGAGAAAAGAACAACATTTAACAAAGCAGAATTCTGAATTTTGACTGACAAGAGTTTAATTTTAAGTCCAAATTAAACTGCGATTTCCTGCTTTGCTAACATGTTTTATCTCCTTGCATAGTGAATGGTTTGATTACAGGGCAAGAGGCATTTTTCTTTTTCTTTGATTTTGAAATTAGCAGATTTATAGAAAAGAGCAATAAATTTGTGTTTGTTTTGATTGCG